AACCCACTTTTTAGAATCTAAATTCATTTCTTCAAAACAAGAGCATAGCCATCTACCCCCCCCCCAGGACACCCTGTTTGCTGCACTGTGCAGCTACTTCAGCGACAGGCTGCTGCACACGTGCTGTCTCACAGAGAAATATCACAGGTCTTTCCTTTTAGTTAGGAAGGACGAACTTCTGCAATAAATCTGTAAATACATGTTTATGCTTCCACCTTTAAGGCTATTATCTGGCTGCTATCTACAACTTTAAAAATGCTACACTTAAATTGTTAACTATGTTATTTCTACTTTTATCTTTATTTTTCTGCATGCTTCTTGATTAGTATTAATCTACTTTTGGCCCTTTTAATCGCTCTAACAATGTAGATTTCCCATCTATGGGGCAAATAAAGGTATTCTGATAACATTCAGAACGGTTAAATCCCAATCAATCATCAATTCCTCAAGGATTCAACCCATTTCCATAATGGCAGCTTTTTATTACCAGGCTCTCCTCTTACAGCTTTAATGCCAGACGTGATTTTCACATAAACAGATGGAGCTTTTTGCCAAAGGAAAATATCTGAAGATATAGCCATTTGTGAGTTCGTGGCTTGACGAAGGGGTGCTAAGCTGTCTGCAGGAACACCGCAACATGAACTCATTATTACTGATTTCCACATTTTAGTAGGAAATTACATATTTCAAGAATGAAATCGGCTATAACCTGTATTACGTTTTAAATGTAATGTTACTATATCTCCCTGGAATCGGCAGTATGCAGACCAAAGGCACTATTAAATGCTTATGTGTGTGCACGGTGCGTGTGTGTGTCCATGTCTGGAAAACCCATTTAAATCTGTACAGACGGGGGGCAGAGGGAGAGAGCTGACCTTGGCCTTTCAGTCACTTAACACTCCTCAGAGAGAGGGAACTTAGTGACCCCAGACTCACACCAAACTGAACACACTCTTGGCCTTACCAAGGTTATGTTTTATGAGTGTGTGCACAAAAGGATGTTTGTTCATGTTTGCGTGTGTGTGCATCCATGTATGTCACCTTGTTTCAGTTGCATCTTTAAAGCTTTGCATCTATAAAACTCTTTAAGTGCTGTTTTTAGTTTGTGGCATAATTAGTGTAATTTGTACGCTGTTACATCCCTCATAAACTTACCTGGCTCTTGTCAACAAACAAAGTCTTACATGGTGGGATGATAATGCAGAAGCAAGCCTATGATGCTCTACTTTACAGCTAAACACAAAGTAAAAGGAAGAGATGTTTTCGCAAAATGGGATCATTTAGAAAATTATTGTCTAAATGAAGTAAGGCGAATATTGTTCACTTCATTTTAGGTAGCTAAACAAAGTTGTAAATCATTGTAGTAATATTGAACAGTAATACCCAAAGAGTCCAAGTATATGGTGAATATTTTTGGTAGCATTACTCTGAAGACAGCTAACATCCACTTTATATTTAAATGTATTACGTTTATCCCAAAATGGCACGGTCTGATCAGTAACAAATGGAGTGCTTCTGTTTGTATGCAGCAGTAGGCTAGTGTGTTACACATGAGGATGTACTTTTAATCAGCCAATAGTTACAATATGGTTCTATTGTGCCTGGTTTTTGTGTGAGTGTGTGCAGTGGCATCATGCACTCCCTTGTATATTGTGGTTATGCCTGGATTTAAAGTCTCCATATGGCACAATTTAAATCACATGACAGAGTAATCTCAGACTGAGCGAATCGCCTGTGTGCGTGTGCGCGTGTGTGCGTGTGTGCGTGTGTGTGTGTGTGTGTGTGTGTGTGTGTGTGTGTGTGTTTGTGTGTGGTAAAAAGAGGGGAGAGATCAAAGGCAAGAGCTAAGATTGACATGTAGATATTTTTAAATGGACGGAAACAAATTATAAAGTAAAAGTCGTGAAAACATGATCATCAACTCCCACACCATCTCTCTCTTTCTTTCTCTCTCTCTGCATGTGTTTCAGCTTAGGGCTCAATGACATCCTTCTGCCATCAACAAGAATAAAGTCAACAAGCCAAATAATAATTCCTAATGCGAGTTACATCTGTGCTGTGAATCGGGTGTGTGTTTGTTGGTTTTGAAATTCCTGCCTTTGACATGAATGTGAATTGTCTTTAGCAAAGGGAGATCTCCTTCTTGGTTTAGGACCAGCAATGAGAATCAGCCTTTTCCTTTCACTGAAGTGCAACTAGTGGTTTGCATGCATTATTCAAACATATAGTGCCCTCTTTTGGGATGTCTATGTATTGCAGCACATTTTGAAATCTGTGAGTCTTTCTGCTTCACAAATCCACTTGCTTCACAAACTGTATGTATTTGAACTGTTGTGATATCTCTTAACAATATTTACATTGTCTAATTTGTCTTTTCTGAATGTCTCAGGGATGATTTTGATGAAGAGGGATTCTGCCAGCCGTATAGAGGGATAGCCTGTGCCCGCTTTATAGGTAACCGCAGTATCTTCGTCGACTCGTTGCAGATGCAGGGAGAGATCGAGACACAGATCACAGGTGAGAAACAGCCGCCTTGTAAAGTCGGTTTAACTAACTTAACAGCAAATAACATCTATTTTCTTTACATTTTCTTCCTCAACACTTTTTGTCTTAGTGCAACTTCAGACTAAATGTTCTTTTTCTGAAGTGTAACTCAAATAATCACAGCGGTTTCAAACACAACTTGGTCACATTAACATAAGACTTAAACATTCATTATAGATTGTATATTTAAAGACAATCTCTTACATATATGCTGCAAGATTAGCAAAGCATTTTTAAAGAACAAACTAGTTCTTCTCAGGCATTTTGTGTCTGACAGGAAAAAGTGACAGCCAGCTTTCATTGGGCCAGGTTCACTGGGTCAACCGTCATTTAGCAGTTGTGTCTTGACTAGTAGTCAAATTCTGCTCACAAACAATATGTTTACCTTGTACGTTACCTTATTAGAGCTGCCTCCTTGGCAGACACTAAATCAATGAGAACCATCTGCGATTTAAGACTGTTTAGAAGGTAACCTATATTAGTCCTGTATGCTGTAGGAAAAAACAGGACGTCACTTTGGAGTTCAAAGGAAGTTCAGCCAGGTCGGGCTCTGTCTGGAGCCCAAATGTTCCACAAACTAAAAATGCCTGTCTGTATTTTTGTTTTGTGTGTTCGTGTGCACATGTCCTCAGAGGTCAGTTTTATTTGTGTGTTATTCATTACATCCGTACATCTGCATCTAATAAGAGTAGAGTAACATTGTTAATCAAACCCATAACATCCAAATTCTGTAGCTATTTACCATCTTAAATATATTATAATATATAATGATCTTGATTTTGTATACTTTTTAATCGCATGTCTTCTCCTTCAACCCCCACAGTGCTGCTTTACTGATAATCACAACCACAGGGAAGCAGATGTTTGCAATAACCATACAGTATGACTATGAATCATACATTTACTGCTGCAGCTTTTAGTGTCAGTCTTCCCCTTTGATCATTCATGTGTTTAGGTGCTCAAGAGAGTCTTTTTTGTGTCTTTTGATTGATGTAGGAAAGAATCAATGAAAGTATTTGTAAAATGAATGATATGTATGTTTTGAATTGTGAGTTATGGACTTATAATCGTGTGTTTAAAAGAAGTATGTGAGTGTTTTAGTTCTATTCTGTAACCAACCCTCCTCCCCTCTTTACAGCGGCCTTCACCATGATCGGGACGTCCAACCATTTGTCTGATCGTTGCTCTCTGTTTGCTATCCCGTCTCTTTGTCACTTTGCCTTCCCGACGTGCGACCGCAGCACTGGAACGGACAAACCCCGGGACCTTTGTAAAGACGAGTGTGAGATCCTGGAGAACGACTTGTGTAAGACAGAGTACATTATCGCCCGCTCTAACCCCATCATCCTGAAGAGACTGAAGCTCCCTAACTGCGAGGACCTGGCGGCCTTCGACAGCCCAGAGGCCGGAAACTGTCTGAGGATCGGCATCCCAATGGCCGAGCCCATAAACAAGAGTAAGACATGTTCAACTTTTAATTATTTCATTTTTTTATTTAATCTTTTATTTGAACCGGGACAGTGCACATTGATGACACTTTAAAACAAAATAATGCTTACAAGTGTAAATGAACCGGATTTTAGCTTTGAGCTCATTTCCATCCGTAGTCCCGTCACATACAACATATAAGAACATGACATTTTATATACATAGCAAAAATAAATACATGATATGCAGAAAGAGCATGAGCAGCATACAAGCATTTACCACATGGCAGTACAATGTAGCAGCTACGACATATAAAGTGCAAGATAAGATAAAAGTGCTACATAAAGTGCAAGCGGAGATACCCCTGTATAAAAGTGCATTTAGCGGTGATTGCACGTCTGTTAGTTGCTCAACCATTCTTTAAGTTGACCACTAAAACTATTGAAAGTGGGACAATCCTGTATCTCAGTTGGGAGGCTATTCCACAATGGTTATATAAGTAGAGGCATCACTGTGGACTCTATTGTAACTGCTTACAGGAGATGTTTTAAAAAGTAAGTAAGGACTGCAATTTACAATTATTCCAACACTGAAAGATGTTTAATATATTATGTAACTATTTAAAATACATTTGTATTTAAAAAAATATATATTTAATTTAATAATCTTGAATCTCCACATTTTTTGCATTTTTGCTCATTAAAAAAATTACTCAAACTTTTAATTGTTTATCGAATTTGATTTGTTTGCCAATCAATCTCTGTTGTCTTGACAAATCTATTCAGCAACTAATGTACAAAAGATTCCCTCAAAAAAAAAAATGTAATTGTAAAGATGGCAAAAACAATTCTAACATAAAAAAAAACAATACACTCCGACACACAACTCTTTGTGAAATTACTAGCGATCACCTTTTTATTGGTTTCCAGGTTAAAGTTTTTACATATAACATATTGTGTTTGTATCTTTGAAAGAAGATATTGATGACCAAAGGAAAGAAATGTAAGGCCAGGGGTTGATTGAGGCTTGGCTCATGAGCAGCCAGCCCAAATAGAGTTTAATCAGTGAGACCCATTCACTCAAACCACGCCTTTCTCTCCCTCAGATCACAAGTGTTACAACAACAGCGGGGCGGACTACAGAGGGACCGTCAGTAAGACCAAGTCCGGGCGTCAGTGTCAGCCCTGGAACTCCCAGTACCCTCACAGCCACACCTACCTGGCCGTCCGCTACGCCGAGCTCAACGGAGGACACTCGTACTGCCGTAACCCCGGCAACAAACTGGAAGCCCCCTGGTGCTTCACGCTGGACGAAGGGGTCCGCTTGGAGATGTGTGACATAGCCGTCTGTGGTAAGAGACTAGAATATGTTTAAATATGTACTATTGAGATTCTGAATATACAAAAATATGTTTTCTTCATATGAAAAGTGTATTTTGACATTATTTGGCTGTGATTTACACAAAAGTGATGTCAGAGACCTTTTATCACATTAAATTGCCCAATCATACAATAGGCCATACATATGATATTAATCCTCACTCTTTTCCTCTTTCTTTTCATCCGTATAGACCATAAAGACAAGTCTAGTGGCGGCAACATGGAGATCTTGTACATCCTGGTTCCCAGTGTGGCGATCCCCTTAGCCATCGCCTTGCTATTCTTCTTTATATGTGTGTGCCGCAACAACCAGAAGTCCCCCACGCCTCCGGCCCCCCGCCAACCCAAACCTGTCCGGGGACAAAACGTAGAGATGTCCATGCTCACAACGGCATACAAACCAAAGGTAGAGCCTTCACGACACATGAAACTGTTGGTGCTGCGTTGAGTTTTCCGTCCCCATTTTCTTTATATGCCTTCAACTCTCCTGCAATGTTTTCATAACACTGGGGAAAAAAATACTTAAATTAACAAATGCTTATATTATAAGTTTTGCTCTGCACATAATACCAGTGACATCTAAATCCTCCATCTCTCTGTTGCCTTTCTGTCACTTTTCCTGAATATATCAGAGGTTTAAACTTAAATCTTACCGGCCTCATCTCACTCAAGCATGCCCTACTTATTGAAAAGCACAAGTAAATATATATCCTTTATTTAACCAGGTAAAGAAGTAAAGTACTGCAAAAAACACACTTTTATTTACTCACACAGCATTGTTAGACCCAGTTCTCTTTAGCTGACTCTGTCATGAGAGCAGACTAAGGAAGGAGTCAAAATACTGGCAAATCCCCCTCTGTGTGTCAACTGGGACACGTCCCAACATGCTGGGTGTGTGTGTGTGTGTGTGTGTGTGTGTGTGTGTGTGTGTGTGTGTGTGTGTGTGTGTGTGTGTGTGTGTGTGTGTGTGTGTGACCTGTCTCATGCAAAGCTTCAGATCTCTATCATCAGAGCTCAGCAGGTCCAGGAATGTTCAGCTGCAGCTCTTTTCCTCTCTGTTTATTTCTATCCCACTGTCTCTTTTTCCACTTCTCACTTCATCCATCTCTCTTTGTTGCTCCATTTCTGTCTCTCCCTCAATCGCTTTACCTTAGGACCTCTCTTTCATCCGTCACCCCCTCCTTCATCCCCTCCCTCAGTCACAAAACCTCTTTGTAATGCAGATCCTCTATCCCCACTCTGCCAGCCAACACGTAGCTCACATTAAGAACTGTATCATATTTCTTTCAAGGTTGCACACTCAGTCATATCACTTATTTATCTTTTTCAACATAATTATGTGGTGGTATGAGAGAGTGGTTATCAAGACAGCATGTCCGTTTGTGCATTACAGAGTTGATGCTCAAGGTAATGCGTATAATATTACCATCAACAGCTGTAGAAAGAACTGCAAGATATCACAGATGTGTCAGAAGCCATTATATCTGTGGTTTATTTGTTTTTTTTGCAATGGAACAAAGGTTCCACAGCCTTAAAAAGGGAGTCTCTCCTCGCTGTGTTTAGATGAGGGCCTCGTATCTGCAAAGAGTCAAGGCTACGAGAGATGAGAGAACGTTTTTCAGGATGACAACCATGCAGTAATGGAATTATACAGTACATTTCAAATGTTCTTCATGGACAACTAGGGCCTGAAATATGGTTCACACATATTAGATCGCATTACCATCCATATAAGGATTTCAAAGGCAGAAGAAAATCTTTTAGTGCAGTCCTCACCTGTTTTTCAAGCCTATTTATTTATGTCTAGGTGTCTAATGCCATAACCTTAAAAGTCAATTGTATATATATTGAATGTAATTTCTTCCTTTTTAAAAACCTTTTTATAAGGAATGGGAACATCTCTAATTATACTGTCATTTATTGCCAAGTTGACTGTCTCACTTCTCCCTTTTATCAACAACCTTGTCTTGGGTTAGGCTGCTACCCAGCCAACTTTGCAGCAGGGTCACCCAGGGGCCATTCCCCCATGACAATCCATTTAGACACACAGTAAACACACACACAAACAAACTTGCGTCGGTGTGAGGAAGATCTGAAGGTTTGGGTGTGGGGAGGAAAGACGGGGTGAAACAAACCCATAACTAAAAACATCTGTGTCTCTCATAACATCAGCAGGCTCCTCTCACTCTTACCCACACACTCATACACACACACACACACTCACACACGCCGCCCCCCCTCAGAGCTCATACAGGCCTGTATGTCTGTCCTGCTCACAGAGGAATTTCATTATTCATCGTAGAGTTCCTGGATTTTGAAAATCTCTGCCAACTTTGCCTCACACACACACACACACACACACACACACACACACACACACACACACACACACACACACACACACACACACACACACACACACTCACACTCACACACACACACACATAAAACAAATCCCCCCTATTTCTAAGATCAACTGGACACCTGAACAAAAGACTAAAATGTTACAGAGTTACAGATTTATTTTTCTGCAGCTGACTCACAGTTGTACTGGAAAGATACTTCATTGCTGAGCCTTTCTTAAAGCTGCTGACCTGTCAATTAAATTACATTTTTAACCTGAAACGTGTTGCCAGATTTCACAATCTTCCCACAATGCTTTTCAAAGACTCAAGGGGAGTCATTAGTAGCTGACGTAATGGATTGAGTCTGAAATGACAAATATGAACTCTCTGGGCTATACTTTATTTTTTTACATCTCAAAGACATATGTAATGTTATATTAGGCAGGTTGCCTGCATCGATTTAGGAGCACAAATGTAAACATCAAGTCATCATTTCAATTTGTCATGCAAGGATAATGGTGGGAAAGAGTACAAAGAAAATATTTATCATATATTTACTTTCACATCTCTTTTCCCTCTGTTCTAACTTGTTTCCGACCCCTGTTCTTCTCTCTGCAGAGTAAGGCCAAAGAGCTTCCCCTGTCGGCTGTGCGTTTCATGGAGGAGCTCGGAGAGTGCTCTCTAGGGAAGATCTACAAGGGACACTTGTATCTGCCGGGCATGGACCAGGCCCACCTCGTGGCCATAAAAACCCTGAAGGATGTCTCCAATGTCCAGCTGTGGGCTGACTTCCAACAGGTACGGAGTAGATCCCACCCCAAGCTTTAAAAATAGCTCAAACATTTACACATGCATATTATTGCGGATGCAATTATCAACCATGTGTGACTTGTATAAGACATCTCACGCTCAACAGTTAGTCATTTTAAAAGACTTGCTTCTAACTGGCAATTGTGTGTTGATGTGGTACAAAAACAATCTACTGTTTTAAAAAATATGTGGGACTACTTTTCCTGTAGAGATATCTCTCATCCCACAAGATTTGAAGCATGACGTGTTATATTTCCACAGAAGGTAAACGTGGTGGGCGATGGCCAGACTGTGTTGCTAAAAAAGACTTTTAATGCTTGAAATAGTTGCAAAAATAAACTGTTGGGATGTCTGGATGGATTTAGCTTCTTGGATTGAATTTACACAGATGACTTGTAAAAACATAATTCTCCCTTTCCATCCTCAAAAAGTGAGAAAAACCTGAACTGTCAACATTAAAGTACGACATAAAAAAATCTGTCTTTTGAGTTTGATAGACTCCATCCAACCTCTTAAGGTCATCTTTAAGGCCTTAAAAAAAAGAAAGCTTGAGTGTTAATTTAAGTGTTCATACTCCCATGAGCATATCAATTCTTTTATTTCATTTGTTTTATACTTCACTAATACTTGTTATGTTTCCACATCAGGAGGTCGCAGTGCTGACGGAGCTGCAGCACCCGAACGTGGTGTGCCTGCTGGGCGTGGTGATCCAGGAGCAGCCTGTCTGTATGCTGTTTGAGTTTTTGCCCCAAGGCGACCTCCACGAGTTCCTCATCATGCGTTCCCCACACTCTGATGTTGGATGCAGCAGCGATGAGGACGGCACTGTGAAGTCCAGCCTGGATCATGGAGACTTCCTACATATGTCCATACAGGTGTGTATTGACAGTGCTCTAAATTATTTCAGCTACAATCCTATTTCATATACAAGTAAGAGATTGACAGATTGCTGATTTATTGATTTAGCTCTTCAGTTTGTCTTCTCTCTTTGATATCCTGTTCTCTCTTTCCACCTTACTATGTGCGGGACATACAGTATTTTGTCAGCACTCCATTATACACATCTTACTTGTTTTGCATTACCTTTTTATAACTATATTTTATGAACTTGTTTTTATTTTTATCTTGTTCTTTTGCTGCTGATCCTTAACAGTTACCAAACTAATGTTGTATTATGCCAACTTGGACAATAAAAAGTCTCTTGCCTATCCTTATCTTATACTCTATTATACACACACTTTCTCAAAAATCATTGTTTTCCTTATTATTATTATTATTATTCAAACCTAGGTGGCTGCTGGTATGGAGTACTTGGCCTGCCACTTTTACACCCACAAAGACCTTGCCGCTCGTAACATTCTAGTGGGTGAGCAGCTCCACATCAAGATCTCCGACCTGGGTCTCTCCCGAGGGATCTACTCCTCGGACTACTTCTGTTTGCAGCCCAAAACTCTCCTCCCCATCCGCTGGATGCCCCCCGAGGCCATTACCTACGGCAAATTCAGCACAGACTCGGACATCTGGTCATTCGGAGTGGTTTTGTGGGAGATCTTCAGCTATGGGCTGCAGCCCTATTACGGCTTCTCCAACCAGGAAGTGATGGAGATGGTGAGAAAGAGGCAGCTGCTGCCCTGTCCCGAGGACTGTCCGCCAAGGTATGTTCAGGTTAATGTTGCTGTGAAGTAATGATGAGAAGGTTATACAGTCTATACCGAATCTTCTCCTTGTTCTGAAGTTAGATCAACAATGGGGGATGTGGGGGCAACACATTTTCATTGTGTGTTTCCTTTTAATAGCCCTTTGTTGTGTTTCTAGGCCAAAGGAATGGCTTTTTTGAATTCTTAATTTAAACAACATTGATTCCCAAAAATCAACCATATTCAACCTACTCAAGCAAATCAGTCCTGAAAAATGTATAATTTAACTTTTAATTGACAAACTTATGGTGGGTGGAACCAAAACGTTACATTTAGCTGTACGAGGGTCACCACTGACAGAATATAAAGTAAAACAATATTGCACAACTTAATAAATTTACTATTAGCATTTACACGTTTTGTACAGTTATATTAATATATAATATAACAAAGTATGCATTCACCATCTCGAAGATTATTATTTTTTAAATGACTTTATGAACTTAAGCTTGCTTTAAATGATTAGTTTTAACTAACTTTGTTGTCTCTCAGGTTTTATGGCATGATGGCTGAATGCTGGCAGGAGGGACCAGCACGTCGGACGCGCTTCAAAGAAATCCATGCTCGCCTGCGGGCCTGGGAGGGGCATTCATCCCATGCCAGCTCCAGCACGCCCTCTGGGGGCGGAGGCAACGCCACCACCCAGACCACCTCGCTCAGTGCCAGCCCCGTCAGCAACCTCAGCAATCCCCGCTACGCTGCTGCCGCGGCTGCTGGGTACCTCTACCAGGCCCAGGCTATCCCCTCGCAGGGTCAGATGGCCCCGATGCAAGCCTGGGCGCCAATGGCTGTGACGCAAACCCACCAGCGCTTTATCCCTGTCAATGGATACCCCATCCCACCAGGATACGCTGCTTTTCCAGCCCACTTTGCTCCACCAATCCCACCAACCCGGGTCATCCAGCACCACCTGCCCCCTCCTAAAAGCCGCTCACCCAGCAGTGCCAGCGGCTCCACCAGCACGGGGCACGTGAGCGGCGTCCCCTCCACCACAGGCTCCAACCATGACGCCAACACGCCGCTGCTCTCCCACTGCATCATGCCAGGTAACGGTGGAGGGCAGATTCAGCTGTACGGACAAATTTGCCAGAAAGGAATGGGACAACTGGACCACCCATCACAAATGGCGCTGCTCGCTGATTCTGACACACTGATGTACAACGACTCGGTCATCGTCGCAGACCTGTAGATAAAAAGAGAGGTACACACTCTTTCTGCTCGGGACCCACATTTGAGAAGTTTAGCCTCTCACGCATGGGACCCAGTTCTACCCTCGTCACTTGGAGGTGCCTGTAAGCACATTTGAGAGAGCAAGAAACACTGCCGCAGCTACACAAATATATACATAGCTGTCTGACTTTTTAATGCCTTATTGTTTAAAGCATTTGTACTTACTACCATGGTTTGGGAATGTTGTGTTATTATTTTTAACCTCTGTGTAAATATGGTACAAAAGTCCTGAGTGAATGAGTGAAATACAAAGATATATATTCAAAACAAACGTTAAAATTAAAATGGAAGCAAGTCGATCCTGCGGCAGAGGAAATGGTTTGAATCACAGTCTGAAAAAAGATTGTGTGTCGACATTTGAGTTAACGGATCGTTTTAATGCAGAATGTGAAGGAAACACTGACATTTTTACCCTGACCCTAAGGTGCCTTTCAGCAGGGGTGCAAGTTGCTTGTTTCTGGACTTATTTGAATACAAAAATGTGCTTTACATTTGCTTGTATAGTCAAATAAACTGCATTTAGCAAGCGATAATCGAGAGAGAAAATGCAACAGCAGGTTGAACAAACAAGAAGGTCAACAGCTTTTACTAAGAAGACCAGAAAAGACCTGTTTGAATATGTATCGATGTGCATATTGAAGTCAGACAGCTAATGGCTATGTGACAGCTCCCCATTGAAGCCGCTGGAATTTAAACTAAAAAGATAAAGGTGATACGTTGGCTAAAGAAATTGGTGCAGGCTTTGAGATCTGGCATTTTCTCACAAAATCTCTTCGGAAATGACCCCTGAATGTTATTTGTGCAACAACGTGACACTTTGCAACATGGACACAGGCCTCCTCATCAGCCTTTTGTTTCTCCTTCCATTCCTTCATCATGTCCCCCTCCTCCTTTTTCCTCTTTTCCCCATCATCCACCCTCCCAGAAGAGCAGGCATGGCATCTAACTTCAGAATTCGATCTACAAATGATCTACAAATGAAACAACAGAATGCTCATGATCCTCCACAGTAAAAATGTATTGGTCTCATGGAACAATTTACAGTCAGTGATGTCAAACTGAAAGTCCCCCTGACAAAAGAATATGTATAATAAGTGTAATTTCAGTTTTCCCAGTATTTGAGATTTTTCGTAAAGATTGTATTCATAGGGCTTATCTTCACGTCTTTGACTTTTTCTTTCCTGTATTACCTGTGCTTGTTTTGTTGAAAAATCATTTTTCAAGACATGGAGGACGGAATGTACTCGAAGCAGAAACAGTCAAGCAGATAAGGCTCCTCGTAGACAATTTTACCATTAAACAAATCTGCCTCATCTACGTGAACAAGAACTCCAATGAACAGTATGTTGGATATGCTCAACACCCACTCTGTGCCTTTGCAGTAGGATGCTAGATTTAAATAAGGATCATTTTCCTGAGCTGGGGACCGACTGTGTCACTGGGTGCAGAGAGATTTATGTACTGTTTTTCTTATATTTGGTTCCTTAAGAGAAAATGGTCAGTATGCTAATATTGTTATTTCTAAATGTCTGGCAGCAATTGTGCTGACATGTAAGCAATCCCGACAAGTGAAGCTTCTAATGGTAAAATATCTCAATTAATATGACCGTAATGTTTTGTTCGGAGTCTGTGAAATCACAGCTGTTATTTTATTTTTATTTCAACATGTCCAGTAGCAGGTCATTTTATACGGTTTTGGACACAATTGGCCAAATACTAAAACGTTTTTGGTTAATGATGAATCATTTTCAGTCCTGTAATCACACATATAATGCCGAAGCTGTCTATTAATGTTTAATTATGGTAGAAGCACAGCTTAATATGAAGCTTTTGTTATTAAAATAACAACATATAGATAAGAGAAACAGCTGAAGTTTGCAAAGTTTGGTATCTTAGTTAGTTACCTTCAGTGCCTTCTGGTTAGTAGACAATCATTGGTTTTGAAAGTTGTAAAAGTGTCCCAGACTGTACGTGTTGCACTTCTTATCACTCTTAGAATCCGCTGTATTCACTAACCAAACACACTTTAGTCGGGCACAAGGGTACGCTGATAGCATTTCACTGTGTATCTGCAGAGCATGAAGCGATGTGAAAACAGCATGCTGCCTGTAGTGCACTTGTTTTAAATTGTCATTTGTGGAATGTAGATAGACAACACTTTATCTGTTCAGTTTTTACTGTATGTACCCTTATAAACTTTAACCCTTCTAATCATACCAGATATCCATACAAGAAAAGTAGCTGCCCCAATTCACTGCAGACTAAAATGACTATGAATCAGATTTAGATTAGACTGAGCTTTTGTTTTCCCCCTAGACCATTTATTCAACCATGGTAAAAAAAAAAAGCAGCTTGTCTGTTAAAAGCTAAATGAAGGGAGAAGATTGTATTTAGTCCAAGTTAGTTTGACTCGTGTTAACATAATGTTCCAATTATTTCATTGCTGTCTTTTGCCTATTTTTCTTTTTGTTCCTTTGAAGCAGATCAAACTACCTTGGGCATCTGAGTTTGTACACATGACATCTAGCTTGTAACAGACTTACGTGTATGAATATAGCAGTGCAAAAACCACTTGTACACAAGACTGTGAATCTAAATCAAGTCTGGTTATTTTTGGATTTGGCCAAAATCGTTATTGTGCCTTTTGTAATACTATATATCCATAAGAGAAGAATACAATTACATTTATATTTCAATGACAATGTACCCGTTTCAGAAGGTTTACATGCTTATCCTTTTGACCATGAGGCCTTTACTTTGTATTTCGTCTGAACATTTTTGCACAGATGTTTTGTATTGCAAAATCATTTATTAAATGATGTTGTTTGGTTAAACTTTGAGTACATTTGTTTGAATAATCAATAGGTCTTTATAACTCATTTGTTGGGTTTTGTGATTTTTCAAATGAGCTTTGGCTTGGTGATCAGGGTTGTAATTGCAGTATGAATCCACTAGGTCTCACCAAATTACCATTCCTGTGGATGTTCAGCCTTTAATTGTAGTGACCATTGTTGACCAGGTGGTGGTGCCCTTTATCTGTTTGATTTGTGTAGGTTTGAGCCATAGGTTTGAGCGTAAAAAAAGCTGGAAATAATATAAGTCCAGCTAGAATTTGGCAAAGATCAAAAAATGACTAGTGTATGCTTACTCGAGTGTGTGTTTTTTCCTTTAGATTCCTGCTCAAACTTTCATTTTGCACAAAATGCTTTGTGAGTAAGTGAGTGTGGCTGTGAGTATGAACTGTACTCTATATGCATGTAAAAAAAAATGTTTTATTTCTGTACATATACAGAGATCATTATTTGTGCACACGGCCGTCTGGTTTAAGATTTGTGTGAACATATAAAAGCAGACAAGTGTTCTTAATCACCAACACACCATGTTAAACATCCTTTTATTATTATGCATTGTTAAAGGGATTTTTTCGGTGCTATACCTAAATTACATAGAAAACTGATTTTCTAAATAATGTTATGGTATTTAGCCATTTAGATTGTTTAGTTGCCAGGCTTTGCTATAACTACTTCAGAGCACTGGTTCCCAACCTTCTTGACTTTTGACTTCTTAATGTGTTCTTGTGACCTGTCATCGCTTTGCATGTGATTACAAGTTATGATCATTTTTAGCAAAGATTGATTTTCCCTCGGAGATTAAAATAGTTTCTGGAAAAAGATACTACATAGCTTCTAGTGATTTTCTTATTATCAATTTTCTTCAGAAAATACATTTATGGGCACATAAAATCAAACAAGTTTATTGAAATTCACATGAGGGGCGTGACATACTTAAGTTTTGTTTGTAATGTGCGTAATATATCCAAGATAATATGAAGGTGAGCCTTTCATTCTCTCCCACCATCTTAAGTGTGTAAAGTGGAGTAAAGGTCCTAATCGTAATTTTTTACCACTTCTGAATTCACGTAAACAGACTACTCTCACACTCTGTATGATCGGTGTAATGGAGATGGGTGTGTCCTGTCCTGATGCTAAAATAGGGGGATTACTTCCTGTGACCAGTGTGTAGCTGAGGACGACCACTCCCATGACAGCAGAGCCCTAAGGGCGCTCTCTGCTTAAGCCTCTTGAGTTCAGGGTGTGATAGGCTTTGAAAGCAAAACAGCGACCGAAGAAGATAATGATTTGGCTTTAAGAAAAAGGGATGGATGCATAAATGGAGGAAGGAGAAGTATACAGCTTAAGTGCATTGAAAGATCAAAACAAAAGGCACTAGTGACTTAAAGGTACAGCATACAGCAGAGGGATAGTCAATTGACATATAAAGCCCCATTAAAATATCTTAAAATTGTACTTATGTGGAAAACTGGATGATTTATCACTCCTGGTTGTGAAAGCTGAATGCATATGAAGACAGAGAAGAAGCGATACAGATATATGTTGAGGAAGGGAGAGACAGGGAGAAGGATTCAGTTTCACCATCCTCTCGCTCTGCCATGGCAGCACTGGAAACCTACAACAAACGTCTGATTGTTGGGGAACATGAGCTGTTTTTGTTGAAGGACTGACAGGCGCTTGACCTCTGCTGTCCGTGCTGCCACACACTGACCTTGGAGAGAGGAAGTCGAGAGAAGCCTTTGAACGATGTCAAGTGAACTACAGTGCCTTGTTTAATTTCACCCGGGGGGCTAGACAAAGCTGAGATAGGTCATCAGGAGTTTATAGTCATCCTCATGGTTCATGCTAATTGTTTTCTTCACAAAGTTAAAGTTTATTTTCCTGGTCAACGTAAATTATTGTTTTGTATAAATTAGCTTGTAGAATGTTATCTAAAAAATATAAATTGTTGTCATTTGCTGGTCAACTTTTTAAATCTTACTTTGAAAACGTTTGTGTTCTCAAACATTGCTTTAAAGAATACAAGTTATAATATAGAAATAGTTTTCACCAAGATCTTCAATTCTCAAAGGCTAACAGAAATGCATCACAAATTTGGAATTTTTGGGATCATACATGAATGTTTTTTTTAACCAGACTAAGAGTGTGGAGCCATGCCCCCAACTCTGTTTGGCCAACATCCTGGTTTTTATCAGCTAAATGTATGCCATATTCACCTTCTTAATTAAGAGTGTTAGCATGCTATCATTTGCTTTAATTAGCATTAAACAAAAAGAGCCTACCGCTGAAGCTTTGGTATTTTGTCATAAGCCCAAGTATTGGTTTGATGATGACGCTAAAGGAAAAGTCAGGGTATCCATCCTCTCAGGACCATGAATGTCTGAACAAAATATAATGGCCATCCGTCTAATACTTGTTGAGATATTTCTGTCTGTGAGAGAGACTGACATTGCTGCTTGTGTTTCTAAAACATGTACTGCAGACTGCAGACATCATCTGCTAAAGTGCTAAAGTGCTAAAGTACGGCCTTGTGCTAGCTGTGTCCGTGTCATCTTAAACTCATTGTTCAGGTCGAATGCATTCAGATGTTTTAAACATTAACAGTCCTCTTTATTATCAGACTGATGCTCGAATGGCCGCAGTCAGAAAGACGAGAGGAGAACAATAGAGTGAAAGATGGATCCACATTCCTTCTCTCCATTCATGCCTCAGATCGCAGGTCTGAGATCACATGACCCCTCCCTAATAATGGCCAGTGTTCTGTGATAACATTTGTCACATCAGCTTAACATTAAAAAAAATGTTGCCATAAGAGTGTTGGCGTTGGAAGCAAAGATGAGATTGTTATTGTGATCTCATTACAACAACATGTTGGTGAATGCAAACCGTTTCGGTTCAGTTGAAGAAACGTATTCGCCTCCTCGTGATTATTGCACATTCTCTTAAGCCACCCGAATGTGCATTTTTCCACTGCTATTTTAATGACCAAGTTTAAGAGAATAATTTCACAACACGGTTTAATGTTTGTCTAACAATGTTTGTGTGCTAGGAATAAAGCTAGAGCCAGCAGGTGGTTAGCTTAGTTTAGCATAAAGACTGAAAACAGGGTGAAGCAGTTTGTCTGGTTGTGTCACATTTCAGTTTTAGTACAGATTAAATTAAAAGATATAGTTTAGCGCTTTAGAGGCACTGGTACCAGCTCACTGTTTCCAGTCCTTCTGCTAAACGTCTTGCTAGACCTTCTTACATCAGCACGCATGATCAGTAGTGAAAGAAAATAAGTACACCGGGTAAACATGCTTTGATCGACTATATCCATTTTATACATCTCCTATTCTTTCAATTAAGTACATTTATGTGATCGGTATGATAATTGTAAAGACTTATTCCTTACCACTTAGATTTGAATGTAGGCTATACTCTGTAGCCTATAGGCCTATGGCGCTGGTATATCTGTCTTTAATCTCATTTTGAACTACAGGACTTGTTTATTTTTACATTCATTGGCACTTTTACTAAAGTAAAGGATACGAGTACTTCTTTCCACAATGGGCGTGAGAGTAGTATTGTTTTTTTAAATTATTTAACTGTTGGGAATAAAATGAAAAAGTGCATTTCTTTGAATAGTTTTGATGATGATGTGGTGGTCTTATCTAAATGTATAGTATAGTTCTGGGATTAAGGACATAAATAGCCCACAGCGAGTACCATACCTATAAATGGTGCATGTGGACAAAGAAGGATGTGTAGGCCTACATATATTTTTCCACAACATGCTAAAAGTAAAAGAACAAACATTACTGTATGTTCTCAACAATGTGCACATTTATATTTTGTGTAAATAGATACTTGCTTTAGGCTTCCTACATTTAAGATGATATTGCTATGCTTATTGATATGTGTTGGGCCATTAAAACCTACAATAACTGATTTTGTTGCCACTAGTTGCGGGCAGCGGAAGAACATTGCGACATTCATGTGGAGTTTTGTTCCTGGTCCGCTGATGAATGTTTTTCCAGGCAGTATTCACTCACTTTTCGCTCTGTTTTGGTTACAACCAACCACGGTATAATACTCTTAAGTTGTTTTAAATGGTCCACTTTTTTGCTATACACTGGGTTGTGATTGTCTAATTGTTGATGAGTACGTTTTTCAGATTGGAGCACATAAACACAGCCCAAAGTCATACTGCCAACAGTGGGATCAACATATTCAACAGTCTCTTATCAGTGAATGGCTCGGCAAAACCTGCGATCTAAAAGTGATCCACTTTATTCATGACTTCAATCTTTTTTGGGATGCAGGCATATTTTCAAGGCAGAGAGATTCCACCCAAGTAGTCCTGAAGACCTATGTACTGATAGGCCACTCTTGGTTTAGCCTGGGACACTCATCAGCCAGGCCTAAGATGATGCACACTGACAGGCAGCTGCCCCAACTCCACAAAGAACAAACATCACAGCTACAATTTCACCTCCATTGGGATTCACTGGTAAACTAGAATCACTGCACACCTAGGACAAAAACAGCCAGTGTCCCATTTCCATTAGACAGAAGCAAAACTATTTGCTTAACTTGTAATCACTAAATCATACAATTCATGTAAAAAGGTCCGCTCCTCCATATCATGTATACAGTCTGTATTGTCCTGGCTTCCTCTTAAAACCAATAATTGAATTATCTCTCAGATCTTATTTTGCATTGTTCAATATGTAATCGTTTAAATTGAATACACTCTTTCCCCCTTTTTCTATTATTCCTCCCCCCTTAACTCTACCCTCACTCACCTTCTCCTTTGCTCTCCCAATCTTTGCTCTCCTTCACTTTTCTCCTCCCCTCTCCTCCACTCCACACAGACTCTCTATCTAATAATCCATCCATCTTTGTGGTGGAATGAAGGTTTAATGCTTTCCATCTGTTTGCGTCAGTGGTGGGGCTCTAATGGCAAGCCCTGCCACTCTTTATT